GCATAGCGAAACACGATTTTGGCAAAAAGCATGGAATTCAGGTTTTTCTCTAGGAGTGAGTACTTGCACTGTACTGCAGTAAATGCATAATTGTTCGATAGAGAATGAAAACGTGCATCAACTGTTTCCAGAATCTTCTATGAATCTTTGTTCTGCGAATTGTGGCATTCATTCAAATGGCAAAAATACGGACGACCTAATATTCATTTTTGCCGCCCCGCCCCCCTCGGAACGTGTGAAGTGGCGCAGTCTTACATGCTATCCAATAGTGGGCGTGAGAACTGCATATGAGAAATCAACAATTTTCAAGAGAAACAACTTAGAAAAAATTTCTATTGTGTGGAAGAGGAGGTGGAGTTTTCAACGATATAGAAAAACATAGATGTTTGATTGCTTTGAAGGTAAATCCAAAATTGTGGCATTCCAAAAAGTGTGGCAGCCGCACTTTTTTGCAATTGTGTTACACAATTTTTGTTACAAGGAAGTTTTCGAGAATGATTCGTATAGAAATAAAATAGATGGCTTGAATCTCTTGATTTACATGGCAGCCATTTGAGCTTGATTCGGCTTCCTGCTAAGAGTTTTCAAAAGCACAACTACTGAAACAGGTGGAAGGCAGGGTCTCCTCCAAATGAATATTATTTGAATATATTAAATATATTTGCAATATATAATATATAATATATTTGAATATAATAAATCTGTTTCTAATCTTAAAAATGAAGCGGGTAATTGCCCCGAGGTGGTTGTTGACTTATTGCTAGTTTACATGTCGAGGACTGTGAGGGGGCAAAGAAGGGAGATAAGAGGTACAAAAATATAACATGAAGAACTTCCAATTTTGTTTTGATGAGGTAATCGATGGGAGGCTTTTGTTTATGCAAAAGTTGTTTATGCACTCTAAAAAAATGGTATGCTTTCTAAGATTCTCGCGGGCCCATAATCCCGAAATTCTAAAAAAGGAGGCGTGCTGTGAGCCACACTCCTGGAAAATTTTTATAAGGTCCAACTGAGCTTATAAAAAGGAAAATGTTTTGATTACCTAAAAGTATAAACGACTTATTTGCACATTTTCACAACTCATGTAGTTGCACATGATTTTAGCTTGCTTAACCATCTAATTTTATTTTCTACCGACAAACAAATTTTCTTTCTTTTGTTTTAGATCTTCCGCTGGTCATGCAACTATAAGCTCAATCAAAATGATGTAGGGCACAACAGCATTTTCTTTATATCTTTCATTTTGGTTAATCTATTAGGTTGGCTCGGAAGTTCTTGCGTAATTTAAACAAAATTCAATAACTTTTCAATGACTAAACCTAAATTCACAATCTTGTTCTATAAAACTATTAGAAGGCCTGCGCTCCATCATGAATGTTTAGGCGCAAGATTTCGTGAGCTAGCCCCCGAGAACGAGGCTCTCAAACATGGGACTTCAAAATTTGCAATTTTGAGTTTGGTGAAAGAAAATCGCAGAGTGCCGCTAGCTAGCCAAAAAAAATCTGTAAAAATTACTTACACTGCAGAAGTCCATAAGTTACTTTGGAAGGCTTTGATCCTGCACGGTGAAGCAAAAACAAAAAATTCGTGAAATATTCATTTTGAGGAAAAAATCCACTCATTACCGCAGTTTTTCGGCAAAAACAATTTTTTACACTCCAAAAAACGTCGCAAGGTTCTAAGTGGGCAATATGTCTTATTTCTGGATGCAAACTGTGTTTTTGTGGAAAAATTACATCGATAAGGGGATTTATCCTGTAAAGTGACAAATTTCACAAATTTTTTGTTTTCGCATTTCCATGCGAGATTAAAGCCTGCTAAAACAACATATGAATTCCTGCAGTGTAAATAATTTTTACAGATTTTTTTCGGCTAGCTAGCGGCACTCTGCGATTTTCTTTCACCAAACTCAAAATTGCAAATTTTGAAGTCCCATGTTTGAGAGCCTCGTTCTCGGGGGCTAGCTCATGAAATCTTGCGCCTAAACATCCATGATGGAGCGCAGGCCTTCTAATATTTTTAGAGAACAGAATTGTGAATTTAGGTTTAGTCACTGAAAAGTTATTGAATTTTGTTTGAATTGCGCAAGAACTTCCGAGCCAACCTATTAGGTTGTCCGGAAGTTAATGCAGGTTTTGAATTCCAACCGCAATAAGTCATACTTCTCATTTCTAAGTAGGTTGCAATACATCATTCGATAGAGCAAAGCAAGCTCTACAAGATAGCAGTCTTGATTTTGCAACAGCTCTAATCCACCACGAGTTTCGAGCCAAAAACTAAAAAGATTCAACTACTCAAAAAATCGAGAAAAATCGTAACTCAGATCATAAAAATCCTACAAAAATTCTAACTCGCTCACGTAAACACTGTCCACATAAGACGTATATGTACGCCGTTGCCGTATTTTATTCTCGGTCAGAAACCAAGAAAACGAAGATTTTCATGTTTCTGCCAAAGTGATCCTGTGCCGTTCCCACATAAGTAGTTGTATACTACTTTACCTGTAGAAGTACAAACGTAAATTTCCAGCTCTCTACAAGCTTCAGTTCTCGAGAAATTTGAATTTTAGCTTGAACCACATGACTAGGAAAAGTGTATTCGATATTTCTCGGAAACTAAAACTTGTAGAGAGCTGAAAATTTACGTTTGTACTTCTACAGGTCTGTAGTATACAATTATTTATGTGGGTGGCGGCACAGCCTACTTTGGCAGAAACATTAAAATCTTCGTTTTCTTGGTTTCTAACCGAGAAAAAAATACGGCAACGGCGTACATAGATGTCTTATGTGGATAGTGTTTACGTGAGCGAATTAGAATTTTTGTAGGATTTTATGAACTGAGTTACGATTTTTCTCGATTTTTTGAGTAGTTGAATCTTTTTAGTTTTTGGCTCGAAACTCGTGACGGATTAGAGCTGTTGCAAAATCAAGACTGCTATCTTGTAGAGCTTGCTTTGCTCTATCGAATGATGTATTGCAACCTACTTAGAAATGAGAAGTGTGACTTATTGCGGTTGGAATTCAAAACCTGCATTAATTTCCGGACAACCTAATAATATTATTGGATAAAGAACATGTCCTTAGCTTCTCTTTTTAGAATTCGTAATTCGTAATTCTTTTCCCACATCATCTTTCAAAGAGCAATGAGAACTGTTGCAAAGGGCAAACTTTGGCTTTACAACACACATTTTCGTTCATAGAAAATGTGACGAGAAAGTTTGTACAATCCGAAAAATGCCAAGAATTTTTTTAATAACCTCTATTTTGAGAAAGCATAACTTACTCTTAAAGGTAGGAGAAAAGCGCAAACTTTGTTCAATGCGCAGCCACTGGTCAAGAGAGCAGTGGCAAAACCCGGATTTTACGGTATTTTTCCACGACGAGACACGCAAAAAGTTAGAAAGTGATCATTTTTTCTAGCTTTTCAGAAGAGCGAAAAATTGTCTTTTTTGAGAATTTTCAAAATTTTTGCCATTGAAAGCTATAAAATTTCATCGTTTTTCTATCACTCAATGTGCTATGTCTATTCTTTGTGTACAAAGCAAAGAAGTTATTGATTCTTGTTTCAAAGTTTTATACGACTTCGAAAGGCTACAATGACCGGCCCCAAGTTTGTAATTAAATTTCTCATCTCAGAACTTCTGCAAAATTTTACAGAGATGTTAGGCATATTTTTTGAAATTAACATCTTTTGTTTTCATGAAATTAGAGCAAAAAGAATGAAAGGAAAAATTTTCAAATTTTAGTCTCTCATATTCGGAAGCGTGGAATCTGGTATCATACAGAGTGTCACGAAAACGAAAGGGTAGACAAGAAACTAGAAGAAACGCCCTTTCAGACAGCATTGAAATTTTTGGGAAAGATTCAGTTTCCTTGAAAAACCAGCGCTTGGAAAAAAAGGTGACAAAAACGTGCATTAATTATGAACCAGCCTAATACTAGGTTGAACCGAAAGTTCTGTCGTTTCATATTTGAAAAATCATAACTTTGCGCTATCTCAATGGATTTACTTCATTATATTTTATTTAGAAAGAGTAAGTCTTTTGCTTTCGAACACTTTGTCTCCTTGCTTCTTATACGCACTGATTGCAGAGATAAAAATGGAAAAAGAAGACTATATAAACTTTGACCTTTTTAAGTTGGGTCGCCAAAAATCGTAACACTGCGGAAAAATCTGAAATCGCGAGTACATAGATTTTTTGACCTACTCTTTCCAACTGTGAAGAGTTTGTCCTGTTTGGACATCTCTTCAAAAAGTTATGATTTTCGAGAAAGGTGACAAATTAATTGATTTTGGCGTTTTCTATTGTGAACTCGAAATTTATAACTTTTCACAGAGGCGTCCAAACAGCGCAAGCTTTTTGTAGTTACAAAGAGGAGGTCAAAAAACCTGTGCCCTTACGTTTTCATATTTTTCCGCAGTGTTTTCAATTTTTGGCGACCTAACTCAAAATGGCCAAAGTTTATATGGTCTTCCTTTTCCATTTTCATCTCTGCAGTCAGTGGGTATAGGAAGCTAAGTGACAAAGTGTTCGAAAGCGAAAGACTTACTCTTTCTAATAAAAATATAATGAATTATATCCACTGAGATAGGGCAAAGTTATGATTTTTCAAAAATCAATCGACAAAACTTCCGGTTCAATCTAATATTTCACGATTATCTATTTGTATCTCCCACATCATTCAACAAAAAAAGCGTTTATGTCAGTGTCTAAAGCTAGTTGGCCTTTTCTCCAATAGCCTGAATGAGAGCAAACAATTTGAAGTAGTTTTTTATCGAAAGGAGGACCACCCTAAAAGCTTCTTATCAGAGAAGATGTTGAAGGGCGGAACCGATGCAGCCGGAACTGCACATATGTGATTTCTACTTTGAGTGATTAAAGCTGTCATTTGATATGATGTTCAGCTGATCCCTGTGATAAATGAGCTACACAATCAAAAGAAAATGAAGATTACAAGATCACAATTACCTCTCAAAAAAGATATACTGAATAGCTTACATGACTTAAACGCTCATTTATTCCTTTATTTCGAAAAAAAATAATAAAAGTATAGGTGTGCAAGAAAGGAACACCAAGATTACCATATCAACATTTTAAGGAAGGCTTACTAAACAGACCGTTTACAGATGAATCGACTCATTATAGCTTAGAGTAATTATAGTATCAAGACCTTTTGTACGTCTGCGGGCACTTATACAATTTGTTAATGTTGTCAATGTCCGACTGGGAGAAAAACTCTCGTTCGTAGTTTTTGAAATTAAGCATTCGGTAGTGCATGACAGACTCCGGATCGTATTTACCCATGTAATGCGCAGAAGTTCTCGGGAGAATGTGACGATTCCAGTAATCTATCGAGGGATCTGGGTGTGGTGGGCCTGTAGTAATACGTGGGTCGCGATCCTCTCTGCAAAAGTCTCCCTTAGTTCAATGATCAGACTTAATATCGAGCAGATTTTTTCTATAAACCTTTGATGTTCGTGATAAAAGCCTATGATATGCATTAGTTCATGAAGCACCGCCTGTCTTTTTAAACAATCAGATTTGAAAGTTGTCTTCGTTTTGAACCTGCCATCAGATGTGCGAGCATCATCTGTTGTCACTCGACCGAGGTCGCTCCAACATCTAAAGCAAGTGATAGCATCACATTGTATTACACTTTTAGGTAACTCGCCCTCTATCATAATTTTTGGAGATTGACAAATAATACATATTACTTGGAGTTCGCGGCGGGAATCTTATGCATGTGTGTTTGTGAAAAGCGTCCATACCCCACTTAATGACACTTAGTTCTTGAAAGGTGAAATTTGGTAATATTTCGTATGGAACTTCTCCTCTTGGCCATAAACTGAAAAGACAGGATTTCAATTTCGAACAGAAGCTAAAAGAAGCTTTGTAGGAAAATTCTAGAGTAAAAATTACCTTTTAGCCCATTCATTAGGGCTAAGCGCAAGCCCTTTGAAACGGCTATATTTGACAGCACCCACACTTCTTTTATGAACTCCATCGGACTCAGCAGACAACTAAGAATAGTGCATTTAAAAAGCATGTGGGAGCCAAGCAGATTTTGCAAAAGCGGTATATAAGATTAAAAAAACTTTTGTGAAGCCGTGAGAGCAACTCTCCAAATATGATATTACAAACTTGTTGGTCTTCCTGACCTTTCGGAAAACATTCGTTATATGAAAGCAGCCTTAGAACCCTTACATTCTATAAAGAGACAAGGGCTTTGCGTGCACGGTGTGCCGAACCCTTTTGAAACACTGCCGATATACTTTTGAGTGTCCCAATAGTATGTATACACTGTTTGATCGTTAATTTATCTAAAGAAGTCTTTTGCCTATATTCAGGCACTATTTTGTAGAGGTGGCTTTAACTTAGATTACGGTAGGGTGCGAATCACCGGTTGCTCTTCATTATTGTAGTAATAATAATAAAAATTCTAACAAAAAGGGTTGTGAGCCTTATTAGCTGCCCTATTCTGCCTCAGAATAGGTGACCCGCTCTATACTGTACATCTAAGTTGAAGCCAGCTCTACAGAACGATACCTGAAGGTGTGCAAAAAGTTTTTGGAATAAGAGATATTAACCATCAATTTTGGGACACTCTATACAGGGTGTCCCAAAAAATGTGAATACTGTTTGATTGTTAGTAGCTCTGTTGCTTTCAAGTCTTTCGCCGAACCTAAGGCATCATTCTGCAGAGCGAGGTTGAACTTAGATTTGTAGCATGAGGCGGATCACCGATCGCTGTTCGCTACTGTAGGATTACGGTACGAACTTCTAGCATGTGGAGCTATTGTAAAATGCCATTTGACAAAAGTTTTTTTCAAAAAATCTCAAATCGTGTACTTAGGGTTTTCGTGCACGCTGATTCCATTGCACGACCTTTTACGAGTGTTTTTGGCTTTTTTGACGGTGTAGTCACATTTCCAACAAATGCTGGAAATTCAGTTATTACTGTTTACCTGGGATAACCTTGGAAAGAAGCATCACAGCATAGTGAAAATTTCATATTCGAAATCAGCGGCTTCCATTGCCATAGTGCAAAAGTTTTTGGGCTTGTTTGGTTTTGTTTCGAGGCAGAATATGGCGTCCAATGGCTTGAAAACCTTGTCGAAGTTCCTACCGAAATCCTTCAGTAATGAAGAGCAATCGATGATTCGCTCCATACTGTAAATCTAAGTTAAGCCTCGCTCTATAAAATGGTGCCTCAAGCTCGGCGAAAAACTTGAAAGCAACGGAGCTATTAACAATCAAACAGTGTTCACATTTTTTGGAATACCCTGTATAAGCTACCTCAGTAAAGCACCACATTTTCAGCGGCTTCCGTCTTTGCCGCCGCCTCATTGGCCTTGCAACGCGTTCGCAGATGTACTTTCTGCATCAACGGGTCGATTAATGCGCGGCCGCCTCGCTTGGGCTTTTCACCCTCTCGAGAACCTGCTCTCTAATCATTTTCCCACCATAGACGTAAAATGGGGAACTCCAATCGCTAAATGAGGCGCAAAGGAATTAAAGCGCACTCTCGAAAGAGACGCAGAGCCAGGGTTAGGCCTAAGGCACACCTCACGCGATTTGACCAGATCGCGATGTCCACGCGACTTGGCGTTCTGCCAAGTTTAAATTCGTCGCGGGCGGTTTCCAAATGCATAAGCGCGTAGCTTTTGTAGGTTTTTGCAAACGTATCAAATCCTGTCCAAACAGAGAGCGGTAACGACCAATTAGGAACACTCGTTTCTGTGCCCAATCGCGCAGCGACTAAATCGCCCGAAGTATGCCTTAGGCCTTAGGCGATCGCGCGGGACTGGAGCCCCACCCACCATCCGATGCAGAGGATTCTCTGGGTATTTTTTCTTTCTTACAAGGAAAGGATACTCGGTCATCGTGGACATTTGGAATGCGATGTATATTGTAAGGCAACTCGAAGCGCTGATTCTAAATCTGGTGCTCGATATCTGCGAAACGATCTTCTGAAAAAATTTATGAATTTTTTCATAAAAAATTTGAGTACTTTTGTGTAGTTGAGAATACCAAATCTGTTCTAGGTTATCGTTTGAAGCTATTTAAGAGAATTTTAAAAGCATTACTATTGTAACATACCTGTCTAAATCATATTCGGCGTTTGAAAAAGAAAGAAAATTTGTTATTGATGATTTTGACCCTCCGCAGTAGCTCAATTTATTCATGGAAATATTATCATAACTCCAACCAGGTATCGTTTCGCAGATATGGAAGACAGTATTCGAACCAGCATTGAAAGACGCATTTTCTGATATATGTACATATCATTATGAATGGCTACGGTCATTAAAGGCAGCGTCCAGGCAGATTCTCGACTTCTATATTTTTATGTTATCCAGGCCTTTCCATGGCGCTGATTCCGAATATGGAACTCAAAAAGCGTGAATTTTTCAGAAAACCACCTTCTGGGGCTATTTTGGGAAAACCCGGACGAGTGCTTCTGATGTTATTCTTGTCGAAAGCAAGTATTAACAGGTAAACGCTGTAAGTTCGACTGTGTTGGTCACGTGAAAACACGTCAAGGCTGAGGAGATTTCGTTCATAAGGGGTTGACCGTCCGAGGGAAGTGGGCGTGGTCGTCGAGCTAGGATCTGCCTGGACAGCTGCCTTTAAGTATCCTTCTCTTAGTACCTACTGAGGCGTGAAAGAATAACCACGATTACGCTACGCAGCCACTGTGTAAATGCTAGATTTGTAACACTATTATTAAGGAAGTCCATAACTCACTTAGTACAATCTGACAGAACTTGGAGTTTTCACTTGTTTTCTTTTTTGTTTTGTTTAGTCTCGATTTGAAGAGACAGTCACAGCCGAGCTTCATCCTCAGCTTTGATGAGTGCGGCACAAGTCTACTAAGAACTCAAATGTACATTCCGGCAAAGTTTACCAACTCCAAAAATTGTTGAGAAAAGTGTTCTGTTGCATAAAGCCCCTGGTCTTTTCCCAAGCAAGATCTCTCTGACGTTTTTTTCCAGTAGAGCCAAGCGCCCTGGTAATTTCTCTCTTGGAGCGAAGGTAGGATGTTCTTAGAGCAGAAAACCTTAAAAGTATCTCTAGGCAAATCTTTAGGTCTAATTGCTAAAAAAAAGCGTCACGTCGCGTAAAACGCCAGGTATTTTCTGCTAGGTAGATCAAGTTTGCCCGGCTCTTTTTCCTCTTTCAAAGGTAATTGTAGGATGTTCTTAGAGTAGGAAATCTCAAAAGTGGCCTTCAGCAGGAGCTCTTAGAAAAGGAGTTCTGCTGCACAGATTCCCTGGTCTTTTCTTCCAGCGAGACCAAGTTTGCCCAGCTAATTTCTATTGAGGCAAAGGCAGGATGTTCTTAGAGTGTAGAATGTCAGAAGTATCCTTCTGTGAAACATCTTGAAATTTATCCGTGAAGCGCAGGCTGTCGCATAAAGTCCCTGGCCTATTCTGCCAGCAGTTTGCCCTACCTTTTTCTCTTTTGGAGGCGAAAGTAGGATGTTATCAGAGTAAAAATTCTCGAAATTATCTTTCGGCAAATTTTCTTAGGCCTAAGAATTCCTAAAAAAGTGTCCTATTCCGTAAATTCCCTGGTCTTTTCCGCCAGTAAAACCAAATTTGCCCCGCTCTTTCCTCTTTAAAAGCAGCGTCCGGGTAGATATGAAAATGTAGAGTACAGGGGCGCCCGTCCTGATGATGCTCTTGCACAGATGGCAATACAACAATTTGCTTCTGAAGCGAGAAATCCGCTTCAGAAGTGGCGACCGGAATGCGCCGGCGACCGGGCGAGCTAGTTCGATAGGCCAGAGTGCGTATACCGCATGCAGCCGAAACGTAGGGTCCCTCAAAATCCTGCGTCTTAAACTTGGCGGCAAGCTACAAAATTCAAATCAAGAGCTTCTGGAAAAGCCCGTTTTCGGCGTTTTCGTGCCCTCCAAGCTGCATTTTCAAAATCAGCGGGAAAAATAAGCCCAGGTAAGCGAAAAAAATTCCAGAAATTTTGCCCGGACGCTGCCTTCGAAGTCTGGGTGTAAGCCGGGCGTCAACCTCAAAAGTATCTTTCGGCAAAACTTGAAATCTATATGTGAAGCTTAGGAATTCCTAGAAAAACTATCTCGATGCATTGAGTCCTTGATTTGCCAGAAGACTAAGTTTGACCTGCTCTTTTCCCTTTCAGAGCCAAAAGTGGGATGTTCTTAGAGCAAAGAGCATCAAAAGTATTTTATGCAAAAATTTTTGAGCCTAAGAATAGTAGAAAAAAATGCACTGCCGCCTGTCCTATGAAGTCCCTACTATTTTCTGCCAGCAAGACCAAAATCATTCTGTTCGTTGTTTTTAGAGGCAAAAGTAGAGTGTTTTTCATAGTTGACAACCTTAAAAGTACTTTCAGCAAAGTTTCTTAAGCCTAAGAATTGCTCTGAAAAAGTCTCCTGTCGCATTTATTCCCTAGTCTTTTCTGCCAACGAAAGCAAGTTTGCCTAGCTCTTTTTTTCAAGAGTAGGATGTTCTTGGAGTAGAAAAAGTCAAAGCTGTCTTTTGGCGAAGTTTCCTAACCTAAGAGTTGTTGAAAAAAGTGATTTGTCGCATAGAGTCCCTGGTCTATTTTCCAGCAAGCCACGTGCCAATTTTATCTCTTTTATAAGCAAAAGTAGGAGTTTTCTTAAAGTAGAAATTTTCAGCGTATCCTTCACAAAAGTTGCATGCTCTCCTCTTTCCTTTCCAAGAGCAAACGTAGGGAAATGAGATTCGACCAACGGATGCTAAACATGGGCATCTCATGGGGTATCGTGCAAAAATTTTTGGAAAAAAGATTGTAAAGATGCTTTGCCCCCTAAGAGGGTTCACTCCTTCTATTTAAGCAGTAATCTCCTTTAAAGCACAGAAATTTTTGGCAAAAATGCCCACAAAAGTAGATCTCTTGACAAAAAGTGGGAAATTTCCAAGAAGCTGAGGTATTTTTTGGAAAAATCTTGCTGCTAAAATCATTGCCTTCCTTTCAAAGCAAGTATAGTTTTCGCGAAGTACACGCTTCCAAA